AAAATGAGAAGACGTTTTTTGTGAAACTGTCTTGGGAGGAGGAGAACTTCAAACCACTATCCCCAGAATTGTTTGCATAGTTGAATAAGCTACAAGAAGGCAGTCCTAGAGGCCAGAAGCCCATGGAAACCAAGAATAGCAGCATAGACAGCCCTTCTTGGACCACGGCAAAGCATGGTGTCAAAAGGATTGAATTGAGGCACTCCACCTCCAAATCTCACCAAATTCCTGCCCATCTTGTTACCCCAAGGGCAAGGAAGAGGCTAGAGCTTGGAAGTAAGTGTGGAATGGATCACAGTGGGCAATTGAGGCTAAAGAATAAGATATTAATTCATACTACAATATTAAGTTCGTGCAGCAGTGGGCCAGGTACCGATCGGACACATGTTGAAATATACATAACATAAAATTTACCATTTTAATCTATTTTAAGTGCACAGTTTAGTGGCATTAAATATATTCACATTGTTGTACAACCATCACCATCATCTTCTAACCGTTAAACAGTAACTCTTAATTCCCCCATCCAAGTGGAATCATACAGTATTTGTCTTTTTCTGATTAAGTTAACATAAAGTCCTCAGGGAATATCCACATTGTATCATGTGTCAAAATTTCCTGTCTTTTTAATGCTGAAATAATATGCCATGGTATGTATGTGCATATCACAATGTATTTACCCATTCATCTGTGAATGGACATTTGGGTTGCTTCTACCTTTTGGCTGTTGTGACTAATGCTGCTATGAGTACAGGTATATAAATATCTACTTAAGTCCCTGCTTCCGTTTTGGGTATATACCCAGAAGTGGAATTTCTGGATTGTATAGTAATTCCATTTTGAGGAATCACCATACTGTTTTCCATAACAGCTGTACCATTTTACATTCTCACCCACAGTGTACAAGGATTCCAATTTCTCTACCTCCTTCCCAACACTTGTTATTTTTGTTTTGGATAGTAGCCATCCTAATAGGTGTGAGGTTGGTATGCCATTGTTGTATTTTTCTATGATTAGTGATACTGAGCTCTGTAAATGAATTTCACAATAAATCGATGAACAAAATAGATCCAGAGACATAGAAGCATGGAACAGACTTCAGAATCTCAGAGGGAAGGTGGGTGGGAGGTGGAAAGAGATCAACCAAAGAACTTGTATGCATAACCCATGGACACAGACAATAGGGTGGTGAAGGCCTGGGGTAGGGGGCCGGGGATGGGCTAGAAGGGGTCAATGGGAGGAAAAGGAGGAACATATGTAATACTTTCAGCAATAAAGATTTAAAAATAATAGCAAATGAGCTATTCAAGATCTCTGCTACTAAGGTGACATTGCCTTTTAGATCCCTAGTAGAAGAGCTAAAAGACATATATACTTTAAAATTCTTGAAATCATACTGATATTTCTAGTCTATAAATAACAGGGCTCTTCCCCTTCTTCCCACAGTACATGATTGTCTCACCTTCTTTAGAGAGGAGAGCCCTGACTCCCAGGAGCAAGCCTAATACACATGGAAGAGTCTCACAATAGCTATACCAATACTACTACTGGCAGTAAACTTAATCAAGTGAAAGTTAAAATTTTATTTGCATTGCTTTATGCCTTTAGAATGCATTCCATTGATGAAGTAAAGTTGGTTAAATTTTTCTTCTGATGTTTATATTATAGGTGAAATAGAGTTAGGTTATTTTACTTCTGTTCATGTTCAAAGACCTGTAAGATCTGGCCTTTTCTTTCATGCCCTATCTTTTTTTTTTTTTTTTAATATATTTTATTGGTTTTTTACAGAGAGGAAGGGAGAGGGATAGAGAGTTAGAAACATCGATGAGAGAGAAACATCGATCAGCTGCCTCCTGCACATTCCCTACTGGCTATGTGCCCACAACCCAGGTACATGCCCTTGACCGGAATCGAACCTGGGACCCTTGAGTCCGCAGGCCGACGCTCTATCCATTGATCATGCTCTATCTTTATTAGCCATCTTCATTAGCACTTAGGTGCTTTAGAACAATTATTTTACTTCATATCATAGACACCCATGTATATCATCTACCCTTTTAGACTAGAGTATCTTGTGACTGGGGACCAGGATTGTCTCATTCAATTTTTGTTTCCTCCGAGCACCTGGCACATACCTTGCCATTTTAACAGCTCAATTGATACCTGTGAATGAATGTCAGGTTCGTGGTGCTTGCAGTCATGGTGAGAGAGGAGCAAATCTTAATGTGGTCCTGTGTATTCACTGAACCCAACTGGTTGCCCCCAGGGATCCAACTTCTCTCTATTGGTAGACTTAATCTGAGCTAAGAAAAATCTAGGCCTTGGTGTTAGTCAACAGAGCCACTGGTATAAGTTTTTCTTTTTTTTTCCCCCCCCCAATCTTTAATTTCTTTATTGATTAAGGTATTACATATGTGACTTCATTCCCCACATAAACCTCCCCTTCCCCCACTCATGCCCGCACCCCCCCTGTTGTCTGTGTCCATTGGCTGGGCTTATATGCATGCATACAAGTCCTTTGGTTGATCTCTCCTCCTTACCCCCACCCTCCCCTACTTTCCCTCTGAGGTTTGACAGTCTGATCGCTGCTTCTCTGTCTCTGGATCTGTCCCTGTTCATCAGCCTATGTTGTTCACTATTCCACAAATGAGTGAGATCATGTGGTATTTATTGGTATAAGTTTTTCAAATGCTGTTTGTTGAATGAGGCTGAGGATGTGCAGTGATCTGGTAGATTACTTCAGAGAAATCCAATTACCTATAAAAGCTGACTTAATAGTTGACTTATGGTTCTAACTAGGAAAATCATCCACAGAATTTAGGAGAGAGATTAAAAATAATATAGCTACCTGACCTGGGAGGGGAAACGCATGGGATAATTCAAAATATGGAGAACTCATGTCTCTGTATGACTTCAGTGGATGCATTTAGCTATAATGAGATTGGGGGTGTGTATAGGGCTAGTTAGAAAATTCACACTTTGTGGTGATTTCTCTTGGGCCCAGGTTTCCCTGTGACACCTCACACTGGGATTTCCCAGCAGACTTCACAGGTGTCTTTGGAGTCTCCCAGGACTAAACGGAAAGTGGCCTCTGAGATCACCTCACCTTCTAAGAGGTCTCAGCCTGATGGACTCCAGACCTCATCTCCAGCTCTGAAAGCCCCAGAGAAAACGGGGGAGAGGCGACGCTCCTGTGCTGAGCAAGACAAGGCTTCACATGAACGTCCCATGATCCTGAGAACCCGGGTCCCAGCTTTGAAAACCACAGAGATTAGTCAGGAAATAACACTTGACCCTATAAGAGGGGGAAAGAGAAGCTCCGCGGTGCCTTCTGTGGTTCTGAAACCACAAAAGATGAAAAAGAGGTGAGGGGACGTTACCCTTCCTCCCAGAGCAAATCCAGACGGTTCACATGATGTGAAATGTGTTGTCACAGTCCGTAAAGTTAGAGCAGGGGGTTGCAAGTCTGAATGTGTCAGAATCACCTGGAGGTTTTCCAAAACACAGGTTTCTGAGCCTCTTTCCAGGAATAGGGAATTAATCTCCAAATGTTAGGCCTAAGAATCTGCAGTTTGAAATGATCTGGATGATTCTGGTATAATCAGATGCCCTTTGGGGATCACTGCTTCAGATGATAACTTCCTAAACCTGAATTGCTTCATAGTCATGGATTTCATTACTTGCCAAATTTAACAGCCATTTTTTTAGTTTATAAAAAACAACACTGGAAACCATTCTCAAATACATGTAGATAATGCATCTAGAACAAAGTTTACATTTTGGCACTAGGCGGTGTTTGTACATAATGTGAGGACTGCACAAATACTGTGAGGAGCCAGAAATTACACATTTCAGTGTTTCCTGCTCAGAAATTCCAGCATCCAGCTCCTCATAGGTTTGCTTGATAAATGCTTTGTATTTAATATATAGCTGCATTTCTGCAGGGTAGATTGTAAAGTCATAAATATGTCAGAGAGAAAAAAGGACAAGATAGTGTGCCTGAGGTTAGTATATTTTGGTCTCTAGTTGAATGGTGAGTCTTATTTAAATAATAAGCTTTAAGCAAACTTTTTTCTCTGGGTTTTAGTCAATTACAAACTTTTTAGCAAAGTGATTAGTTCCTGCAAAAGGAATAGGAGCAAGTCAGGCCACCTGACTCCTCTAGAGCCTGCTGCTGATCGCCAGTGCCTGAAACTGCTGTGATACCTTGCAGGGAGGCACAGACACCAGACGCTCAGGATGAAGCTACCTCTACTCCCCATCGTATCCGCAGAAAGAGTTCCCTCTTGACTTTGAATCGGATCAGGCAGCAGCTTCGGTAAGAGTGCTCCTTGGCAGGCAGAAGTACGTTTGTCACTGCCATCTGTGGTGTCTATAATCTTATTCCACTTCTTAAAGCCTCTTACAGTTCTTATTTGTTATTTGCTATTCCATTGAAATTCACCTTTTTACCTAGTATGTCTGGAATTGTGTTAGTTTACATAAAAGTCAGTTAGAAAGGGGCAAGAAATGCTGTTCTGGGCATAGGTGGCTCTCGGGGCCTCATAATCACACCTGGCAAGACTGTTAGAGGGATGCCTATAAGCATGAACTTTGATTCTGATGCTCTTGAATGTGAAGCCGAGCTTTGTCATTTACTCTCTGTATAACCTTGGGAAGGTTACATAACCTTTCTAAGCCTCAGTTTCTTCATCTATAAAAATGGGAATAATAATATACAGGTCACAAAATAATATAAATAAAGCCCTTGCCAGAGTACCTCAGTAGCAAGCAAGTGGAGCACATCTTATACTGCTCACCACAGCAGACACTCTTAAACACCTCTAATCTACACTAACCTGTTAGGGTGCCTCTGATTTAGACTTCAAACACTGAATATCAGAAAATGTGTCCCACCATTCAGGTTTTTAGATGATAGCAAAAATGACAAAGAAGAGGAAGAATTTCTGCCTGCAGCAGAGATTGCAGACTCGGACAGTGAGGAGGAAGAGGCTTCGACACCATCCCTTCCAAGGAAAACATGCAGTTGTGTGTCCAGGAACCTACGCTCTTCCACGAAGTCGTCCTTACACACCCCCTCCAAGACACCAAAGAAAACCGTAAGGTTCTTTTAGCTTTATTTTCCAGTGAAGCATCCTTCTCAATTTAAAATGTGTTGGCTGATATCACACTATTATTAGTAATAGATGGGTTCTGAGTACAGGTCTGTTGTATTGAAAGCTATTACACTTGGAATATTCATGAACCCTAGGGCTGAAAATGAATCCAGAATTAGGGGTGAGGAAACTTTTTTCTACCAAGGGCCATTTGGATATTTATAACATCATTCGAGGGCTATACAAAATTATGAACTTAAAAACTAGCCTGCTATGTTTGGTCAAACATGTAATTAACTCACCCCTAATGCCTTGGCAGGGCCAGACCAAATGATTTCCTGGGCCTTCTGTGGCCCACGAGCTGGACATTCCCCACCTGTGCAGTAGATAGTGATTTTTGAGTTCCCTTTAAAATACAAAACCAAATGGCCAAGAGCCGAACTTCCAGAGGGAAGGACAAGAACTGGCACTTGATCTTTGCATTTCCCACAAAACCCAGTAGAGAGCTTTGAGTGTAATCAGTGCTCAGTGGGTATTGAATCAGGGCTGCTGAGCCGTGTTGTTGGCTTTACTCTGAGACAGGCCAGTAAGCCAGGACAAGTGGAATAGAGAAATTGAGACGGACAGCTGAACAAACTGGCCTAGCAATTTACAGCCAGACACAGAAGGTCACCTCCCTAGAGATCATGTCTAGGCCTCAGTTGTATTTAAGCTCCAGGCCCAGAAATGCAGCAAACCCAGGTAGGCCATGCCAGGAGCAGCTGCATTAACTAATGATCCTTGCCCTGGCACCTACCAATCAATAAGATCATGAACTTGAAAGGGCACACCAGGAAAACTAATGACTATTCTGCTGAGACCTCCCCTGATTCCTGCCTGCAAGAGAGAGATAAAAGCCTCGAAACAAAGGACCCAACACATGCTCTCCCTCTGGAGAGCAACCCGTGCCATTTCCTTCCCCCTGTTCTCCCACATCTGTGCATCCCCAAACTCTAAGGGACCCATGGGACTTGCAACCAGGGGAGCAGTGGGCAGTGGCAGCTGTCCCAGGCTCACCCTCTGACCCTGTCTCCAAGGGCCCCTTTTCTCTGACTTCCCAGGGAGCTAACGCAGCCCAGCCTAGGCTCTTCTGTTGCTTCTACTTTGCTAAACCCTTCCTTGTTTTACTGTCCCCGGCCCTAATAAATGTACCCTCATAGTCACCTGGACTCGTGTCATGAAATTTTTCCTGCACGAAGTCAAGAACCTACACACTACTGGCTGGTTGTAGGCAGACCTGCTCAGGGTCCAGTCACTTGTCCGGTAACAGTGTCACTTGATACACCTGAGAAACAAGGAGTACTACTCAGGTATTGGTAATGAGTTGTGTAACTGGAAGAGAATAATGGATGTCTCTTCTGCTTCCTATGGAACTTTAACAAAGAGTCTTCCCATGTTCAGATGTGTATTAATGTTATTGCGACCTTCAGAGAGAGCCTTAGAGCAGGAGTCTTTGACCAGTTAAATTTTTTTGTGGAGCATATTGTTCTTTGGAACACCTCCATGGAAGGAAATCCAATAGATAACTTTTAGACGTGAGGCGATCTTACCTGGAATTCTTTTTTATGCAAAGAATCCCTACCTTCTGGTTTGATTGCATCTCCTGGGTCCCACCGAGAAGAAGAGATATCATATCGGGTGTGAGGGCATCTTTAGCATAATCAAAAAGACCAGAAATCTACCAAATTCTTGATACATTCTTTTTATTTATTAATTACTAGTAAATTAATTGGGGTGACATTTTGATACATTCTGAGCAAGGTTTTCTTACTCCTTTCCTGTTTTCTCCAAAGTTGTTAGGTGTTAAGCCGGTAAACAAGGTCTAACCATGTTTTCAAACCAATCTCTAGGAAGATCCTCTGAATCAAACCCAGTTTATGCCTCCCACTCAACCTTATGTTTGGGCAGGGTAGTTAGGATTTCTTTATAATTTCTTATCTTTTTTTTAAAGTAATATTTTACTTTTAAATAGTGTTTAATCCATACTTTCATTTATTCTTTCCCCAGATTGACATTGTTTTCAAATCCTAATACTGTGTGTAAATTGGAAAAAAGAAATTGTGTTTGGACTATGAACAAAGTGTATGTGTGATGTGAGGAGAGAGAGGGAGAATCATGGTATTTTATACATAAAAGAACTAAGAAATACACCACCTCTCTTCTTTTTAGCAAGTCATCAGGAATCAGATTTGCTAATGTGTCCTGGATGGTGTTTTGCTTTGTTGTTGGTTTGTGTGTGTGTGTGTGTGTGTTGTTTTTTTCTGAAATATGTTCTCTTTCTGAATATAGCCCAAGCCTAGAATGCCACATTCTGCCACTCCCCAGATCCGCAGCCGAAACCTGGCTGTCCGGGGACCTGCCAGCGTGCTAGAGGAGGCCCGGCTAAGGTAACACTGCTCACGGGCCCCTTTCAGATAGGAAGAGATGGGCCTCTGCGTTCATTCACGTGAAACAGGAGTAATAACAGAGTAAAATGAACATGTGTGTTCAGAGAGAAGAAACCTCTCCAGTGGTGTCTGGGTCAGCTAATGCAGACTGGTTCTAGGAGTCACCGTCCAGTCTACTGCCATCCTTTTCTCAGGGATGGAGGTGACTAGTCAGGACGCTCCTTCTCAAGTGTCACACCCTTTAGAACTGTGTTGGGACTTTTAAAAAATATACAAGCCTGCATCCTTCCAGAAATCAACCGAATCAGAATCTCTTGTGGGATGAGGTTCAGCCATGTGATTTGGGGAAAGCTTCCCAGGTGACGTGTACCTTTGGTTAGCACCACTGAGTTGGTGATTTGGGGGGAGAAAGGGATTATGCAACTACATGAAGAGATTTGAGAATGAAGACATTCCCTTGGGTTTGTGATTAAGGTTTTATGTAGAAACTAGATAAGTCTTTCAATTTATTATTGAGTAGATGGTGAAATGCTTCTAAAATCCTCCTTTTCCCTTATTTAGTCTGCATGTTTCTGCTGTACCTGACTCTCTTCCCTGTCGGGAAAAGGAATTCCAAGATATCTACAACTTTGTGGAAAGCAAACTCCTTGACCATACTGGAGGGTGAGTCATGCTGAGCCAGGTCGGATGGTCGGGGGAGAAGGCTCCTGCTGGTATACCCCTCAGGTGTCAGAGATCGGCCAGATGGTCTTTGCCCGTGTCAGGAGAACAGGGAAAAGCCTAAAGCTTCTAAAGCAGCTTTTTGTTGTCAAAGTTATTCTGTAGGAATAGGAATTCTGTTTTTCAAAGAAAAATGACACTGCCATTGCTTGTGGAATGAATGATTCTATGGAAAAGGCCCTGCTCTAATCAGCTTCCAAGGATGGTCCCAACTGCCCCCACCTCCACATTTCAGGGCTCTTGGTCCTTCCTTCAGCAGACATTTGCTCACTCCTAACTGGTGAGGCAGCTGGCACAGACCTAACCCTCACGCCTTCCCTTCCTGCCTAGGTGCATGTATATCTCTGGGGTACCTGGGACCGGGAAGACTGCCACTGTACACGAGGTAATACACTGTCTGCAGCAGGCGGCCCAAGCAAATGATGTTCCTCCCTTTCAATACATTGAAGTCAATGGCATGAAACTGACAGAGCCCCACCAAGTCTACGTGCAGATCTTGCAGGTAAGCAAAGCAGGTTGGGCTTTTTGGAAAATACAGTCTTGGTGGTACATGAAAAGAAAAAGGTTTACTTCATTTTGTGCATATTACATATTTTCAACATGCCAGGCATTGCTCTTTGAGTAGAGATAGCAAGAGCAAAGGCAGAATTCCTACCCACAGGGACCTTAACGTCTAGGAGCTTGTTATGAAATGTTGGAAGCTAGTACTTACTGTCATGGTGAAAACCATTTGCACACAGGAGGCAGTGTGGCAGACTAGAAAAGGGTTGGAGGTAGGTGCAAGTTTGCACCTCACTCTTGGTTCATTAGCTGTTCTCTTGTAACAGATAATGTCCAGTTATAAAGTTAGGAAGTAATGATTTTGAAGGGGCTTCTGGGACTAGTCTGTGGTTCATTTGCATTTCAATCACACAGACTTTCTCTATCTTCTGTCTTGGTGCCTTCCAAGTTTAGGGTAGAAGGCAGAGTATAGGATCCTGAAATCCTCAGACTAAATAGCTTCCTCTGTTTGCAGATTTAACTTTAAGCCCTTAGAGTTCACCATCCCTGTTTTCCCCCAATGCAGAAGATGACAGGCCAAAAGGCAACAGCTAACCATGCAGCCGAACTGCTGGCAAAGCGATTTCGCACCCAAGGGTCCTCTCAGGAAACCACCGTGCTGCTTGTGGATGAGGTAAGGAGGTGCCCACAGCAGGACTGGGAAAGAAGCCACATGGTTGTTGACCGAGATGTTTTGGGAGCAAGTACTGGGCAGGACGGAAGGCTTGGCTCCTTCCTTCATCTAAGCCTGTTGTCTGGTGGCAAGTGGCACGTGCCCACTGACTTCCTTGCTGCTCTGCCGATGTGCCCTGAGAAGCGCATGCAGCTAAAACAGTGGTGACAGGTCTCACTCTGGGCCCTGGCGCGGTCTCTGTAGTTGACCCTGCATCTCTCTCCATTTCCCCGGCAGCTTGACCTTCTGTGGACTCAGAAACAAGATGTCATGTACAATCTCTTTGACTGGCCCACTCACAGGGAGGCCCAGCTTGTGGTCCTGGCCATCGCCAACACCATGGACCTGCCAGAGCGCCTCATGATGAACCGGGTGTCGAGCCGACTGGTAGGTGTTGGGGCCGTTCTCAAGTTGTTCTTACAGATGCAGAAGCTGTGCTAAGGAGTCCTGCAAAAATGAATACACAGGACCCTAAAATAAATGGGAAAAGTACGAAATGTGGACTCTAAAATTCTTCTCATTTTAAGTTGGAATTAAACATATCGCCATTGCATGATTTGCTGAAAACACATCTTGATGTTCTGCTGCCTGTGCACTGTTAAACTGCAGAGCCCTGGAGGTTTAATTATATTTAAAATGTATTTAAGCACTTTCCCTTGCCAGGCAGTGTTAGATGGGTAGAGTGTAGCAGTGAGCAAGGTGGATGCAGTCTCTGCCCTCGTGGACCCCTGGTTCAGCCTGAACCACAGGTACTTCTAGGCATGGCGAGTGAGACCAGGAGCTGTGCCTGCACAGATCATAGAGCTGAAGATCCTCCTGTCCACTCTCATCGGAGCACCTCTACTTGTCTCTACTTCTCAATGATTCTGGCAGAATAAAAGGATATTTTAAACTAAATGAAAAGTAGTTGAGAACTACCATTGTCAGTAACGAAGAGCTGGAAGCAGTGGGAGTCCCAGCATGAAATCTGCACACTCTTATGGATTTGGGGACTGAATTAACTTTCCACCAGGGCTATCAGAGGGCAATCCATGAACTTGTTTCTCTGTCATCCTGGCTCCCCAGGGTTTCACCAGGATGTCCTTCCAGCCCTACACTTACAGGCAGCTGCAGCAGATCCTAATGTCCCGACTCAAACACTTAAAGGCCTTTGAGGATGATGCCATCCAGCTGGTTGCCAGGAAGGTAAGTCACCGTCGGGAGGCCTAGCTGTACCTACAAAACTCGGCAATTCTTTGCTGAGCACCTGTTGGTGTGAGGTCCTGTGCTGGTGCTCTGGGGATGAAGAGAAATTTAGGAAGTCTTGTAAAAACAAATACAAACAGTAGAAATGAAGTCCTGAAAAATTCCTGAAATCTTATTGTATGATAGGGGGCTATGACTATGGTGGGCTTAATCAATTAAAACGAAAATTAATTGATTCAGGGAGCAGACAGCTTTGTATAATGAAAGGAGCAGAATAGTTAAATAGACAAACCTGCTTTGAATTCTGGCTCTAACACTTAACAGGCGTGTGGAAGGTTATAGGAAAGTTACTTTAAAACTTCCTGAGCCTCAGTTTACTTCTCTGAAAAATGGTAATAATACTAGCTACCTCATAGGGTCATTGTGAGAATGAAATTCAACCATGTCCATAAGGTGCCTGTAAGATTGGAGTCGCTCCAGGAAATGGACGCAACCAGCAAGAGGGGAGTTTATTAGAGGGAATGGGGGGAAGCTCAGGACTCAGCCTCCGCTGTCCTTGGGGTTGAATTTTATGCACAACAACCACAGGTGGAGGCTGGGCGGTGGAGTTCATTGTCCTTCAGACTGATCAGTGCTGGCCGTTGTTATCGTTGGCCTGCTGTCTCGCCCTCCATGTGGCTGCCTCCTATTGAGCCAGATGAGGTGACCACTGGCTCTTCCACGAAATGAGGCTGGGGCCACTTTCTCATTCAGGACTTTCTAGTCCGCTTGAGCCAAATGTCCTCTGCTGGCCTGTCAGTGTCTAGCAAGGTGCACGCTCCATGGTAGGTATAAAATTTGGACTACATTCAAGCATGTCAAACTCGGGGCTCATGGGCCGCAGCCTCGTTTACATCCTCCAGGCTCACTGGGAGAATGCCAAACGAGATTCCACTAAGACTTATCTGAGGCTACTGAAGAATAAAGTGGGTTAAATATCTCCCTCAAGCTGAACACAAGAAACCACCCATCCACCGTATTTCAGCACTTAAGAGATTTATAAATGTATTTCTAGTCTCTTGCCTGGGATGGTGTGAACTCTGGTGTGAACTCTGAATGCCTACAGCAGCAGCACATGTCTGCAGCACCTGCTCAGAACTGCTACTGACTGTGTTAGGTTCTGGGGTCAGGTGGGCCAGAGGATGCTCGTCTCCAGGCTTCACTTTCCAAGAGCGATCCCCCAAGGTACCATGTGATCCTCTGTTGGGTAGAGTTTTTCACTTCCATCATGCAAATTCTAAAAGTTTATGTTTTTCCTCCAAATGGTCCTTTTTTATGCCTATTTAGGTTATCTTCTTCCGTTTCCTCCAAGGTGCTTTTGTCTGTTGGTTTATCCTGCACTGTTCCTTCCCTCAGATGCCTTGGTTGTCCACTTAGGTATAAGAATGGAGACTACAAAGCTTATTGGGAGCTCAGAGCACTTGAGTAAGCTTCACTGGGAGAGTCTTAAGGGGCAATTTCCATATCTTTAGTTGTTTTCATTGGGATGGTCAGATTTCCTGTAGTTGGCTTCCTGTGTCCTGCCTGGAGGGCAGTATGGGGTGTGGTAGGTGGGCTGGCGTCAGAGTTCAGGATGCAAATGGTTAGGGACATCCCTCCCCTCTGACAATTCCTGGTGTCCTGGCCTAGAGACTTTGTTTATTCTTGTTTGAGAATAAATCTTAGGTCTTCTGCCATGGTATAAGAGGGAACATCTCCAGGGCAAAGAGTTTTATGGAAGCAGTACAAATTAACAAGGCACAAAATTTTCTCAGAGCCCTAAACTCTTCCTCCCCACAGTGGCCCTAATGTTCATCCAACAGCACGAAATGGGAGAGGATCTAGGGCAGTGGTTCTTAACCTTCCTAATGCTGTGACCCTTTAATACAGTTTCTCATGTTGTGGTGACCCCCAACCATAAAATTATTTTCGCTGCTACTTCATAATTGTAATTTTGCTACTGTTATGAATCGTAATGTAAATATCTGATATGCAGGATGTATTTTCATTTTTACAAATTGAACATAATTAAAGCATAGTGATTAATTACAAAAACAATATGTAATTATATATGTGTTTTCTGATGGTCTTAGGTGACCCCTGTGAAAGGGTTGTTCGACCCCCAAAGGGGTCGCGACCCACAGGTTGAGAACCGCTGATCCAGGGCAAAGGTCAGCAGACTTTTTCTGTGAAGGGTCAGGTAGTAAATGTTTTCGGTTTTACAGGCCATAACAGTCTGCCACCGCTATTCAACGCTGCCCTTGCAATACCAAAAGCAGCTATGCACAATCGGTAAAGAATACACATAGCTGTGTTCCATTAAAACTTCATTACAAAAACATGTGGGGCCATAGTGTGCTGACTCCTGGTCTAGGGCATCCATTTCTTAAGCACTCCTTATTTTAGCCAAACTTTACCACCAGTTTCAATACCACTAAACCTGAGCATTTTGTAGATTTTTAGTATAATTTAGATTTGTTCTTAGATTCCTCATTACTGTCTTAGGAATTCTTCAGTCTTCTAAGTCAACCACTACACTGCCACCTCTTTCCAACTGCAGAATTATATTGTTTACTCCTGTTGCTTCCCTTCCTCTTACGGTTCTTTGTCTTTTTTTTGTTTTTATTGATTTCAGCGAGAAAGAGGGAGAGAGATAGAAACATCGATAAGAGAGAATCATCACTTGGCTGCCTCCTGCACATCCCACGTGGGATCGAGCCTGCAACCCGGGCACGTGCCCTGACCAGGAATCAAACCATGACCTCCTGGTTCATAGGTTGATGTTCAACCATTGAGCCACACCAGCTGGGTGGTTCTTCGTCTTTTAATAACGATTCAGGAGGCATCAAATTTGGGTGGTATTTTTACCCAAAACTCTTGCCTGTAATTTCAAGCCTCTCTTATTTCTTTACATAGAAAGAAATAGAATACATCTATTTTGTATTCTGTATACTATATTTATAAAGTCTTTGTGAGTCCAATTCTATCAATTGCTGGTTCCCATGTATATGTGGCCTTGTTTCCTTATTATTGTATCTTGTTGTTTTTTTTTACTTATTTTCTTGTACTATATGCTCATGCTCCTTAGCGCTTTATCAGATAATTAATTGAGGCCTGGTTGAAGTTGAGTTCATTTGGAATTTGTTTTTGTTTCTGTTAGTTACTGAAGGGCACTATCACTGGGACCATTTTAAAACAACATTCTCCACTAGAGGTTTATAGGAGACACAACATAAATTTGGGCTCCAAATCCATGTGAAGACTTTTGGTTGCAAAGACTTCGTGAGTTTTCTAACCCTGCACCACCTATTACCAAGGTCAAAACAGGCCATTTTTCTAGCCATCCTTCTGCAGGATGGTTCTCTCATTCACCCTTATGCTGAGGTTGGGCCCATGATCATATAAGGTCTTCTCTTAGAGTCCATGTTGGGTAAGCCCCAGCTTTTTCTTTTGTCTCCATCACCATCACAGCCATCAGAAAGGATGCTTATGGTCACCAGGTTCACAGGTGCTCTCAGGGTGAGGACTGCTTTGGGTGTTTTCTTGCCTCCCGGGGTCCCTGTGCACTTTGCTTCTAGGCCTCTGCAGCAGCTCCAGTCCACGCTGTGAACACAGTACTGCTTCCCAAGGCAGTGGAATGGGCTCGGAGGAAAGAAGTGACAGGTGGAAACATCCACAGGACACCCTTACCTGCTGGATGTGGGAGGTCAGAGGAAGGGAAGAATATAAGCTGATGCTCATGCTTCTCTCTTGAGTTACTGGAGAAGTGACTTTCGTTTTGAGCGTCTTAAATTTGAATTCTGAAAACAGAAATATACACAAAACATTTAAAAACGTCTGTAATCCTACTTCCCAGAAATGGCTTTTTAATGTCTTTGTGTGTTGTGTATCTATATGCCTATAAAATTTGCTTTTTTCGAACTTAATGTAGCATGAATATTTGAAGGAAATAATTATTTCAGCATGTCCTTAGGCTAATGATCAGGATTGTTGGCAAGCACTGGGACTATAGAAACAGAGATCCTTGCAGGCCACAGTGAGTCCAAAGCTTCCCTCGGTGAAATTTAAATTGCAAGTGGCTTAAGTCAGTTTGGGAGAGAGGACAGGATTCCCTGTGAACGGAGCCCAGGAACCCCAATCTCTGTGCACATGCAAAGGAAGGAGCAACAGTGTAGCCTCTGGTAGTGTGGGTTGGTCTGACTCGGCTAACCACAGACTTCTCTGGGTCCCCCAGACATGCAGCCTCCTTCCCTCTTGATTCTGGTTGTTTAGCCATTGACCAAGCCGTCTCCAAAATTCACACAAATGCTGTGAGGAGGCTCGGCTATGGCTTTACCTCCAATCCCCGCCCCCCTTAGCCTCTTGGCCTTGGCTGGCTGCTTCTGGGGGCATATTTCTCTCCAGACAAGAAATGAGAACCCTTGTGTTTTCAGATGTGTCAGTGTGATTGTGGGGCACCGGTCTCATAGATTTCATTTCCCTAACATTAAGTAAAGCTATGGATTTCTGCCTTTCCTACTTTGGAGTTATCTGTAAAACCAAGACAAAGGTTTGGACTCAGGAAAGAGTCCCAGGCACAGTAAAAGTTATGTGCTGCATGATGACATTTTGGCCAATGAAGGACCGTATATACAACGGTGGACCCGTGGAGCTGAAAAATCCCTATAGCCTTGTGATGTCATAGCCATTGTAATGTCGTAGCATAACACATTGCTCAGGTGTTTGTGCTGATACTGTTGTAAACAAAGCTGCTGTCAGTTGTATAAACGTACAGCACATACAATTATGTACATACACAATACTTGATAATGATAATAAGAGACTATTACTATACTAGTCATCATTATTTTAGGTGTATTCTTTCTACTTATAAAAAGGCTACACCATGTAGGTTTGTGTAAATGCATTTGGATGTTTGCACAGCAATGAAATGCCTCATGAAGCATTTCTCAAGAGCGTATCCCCATTGTTAACCAACACGTTAACAATGTGATAATTTCTATCTGGGCTTCCTCCAGGTTCCCAACTAGGACTAAGTACTTAACTTCAAGCTTAAGTCCATTCTCAGCAACGCCTTTTTTTTTTTTTTAGCTGAACACAAAATCTGTTGGTTGACGTGGCAAGGGGCCTCAAGGAATAAAATGATCCCTCTTGTAGGTAGCAGCCCTCTCTGGAGATGCACGACGCTGCCTGGACATCTGCAGGCGTGCCACCGAGATCTGTGAGTCCTCCTGCCAGAAGCCCGGCTCCCCTGGCCAGGTCACGGTGGCCCACTTGCTGAAAGCCGTGGATGAGATGTTTTCATCGGCGTACATCACTGCCATCAAGTAAGATGCTTCTGCTTCCTGGCCTTGAGCCTTCTTTGAAAGACCGCCTGAGGGCCACGGTGGGAAGGCCGTGGAAGCCTGTTTTTCTGATTTACTGAAGACGCTGTCTTTTTTCTTAAGGGGCATAATCATGGGGTGCTGGTACCCTTCCAGATGTAGTTGCTGGGTTTCCTTACTTCCAAAGTGGCATTTATTATATCATTTTAAGACTCTGGGAGGGTAGGGGGACCCCTTCCCAAATAATATAGGAGGAAGTAGTCCCCATTTTTTTCTAAAAATGCAGAAAAGCTTTATCCAGCTTTCCTCTTGGTGTTGGTGCAGCCACACTGAGAATTCACATGTCTTCATTTTCTTTAAGAAATTCCTCTGTTATGGAACAGAGCTTCCTGAGAGCGATCCTTGCAGAATTCCGTCGATCGGGACTGGAGGAAGCAACATTTCAACAGGTGGTCAATCTCCTTTTTGAAAATCCATCTAGATTTTGGTCTGGTGCTGTTAAAATATGTGGGAATTTCAATCACTGTGTGATAGTTTGTCTATTCTGTGGTAACCTGGTAATGCTAAGGAATATCAAACCAGCACCTATTTTTATGTGATATTTTTATTTAGTTGCATGAGGAGAACTTTAGCAACTGGCTTCTACATATTAGATTAAAGGTTTACTATGTGCCAGATACTGTTCTAGGATGGGAGGTTCAAAGATGAACAATCAAAAGTCACTGCCCTAATACAGCTTATGTGGTGTAATGGGGGCGACGCTTTCAGAATGAGCCATGTTTAAAATCACAATCTTTGAGCATCATTTCAATATCAGTAAAAGGAAGCTTGAGGTCTCAGGCCTTAGTGATTTATTTAAAACCAGTGTCCACAGGCCAGTGTCCACAGGCAATGGCTCCCTTAGAAGGTGAACTGTCAAAGGTGTGTGTGTGTGTGTGTGTGTGTGTGTGTGTGTGAGTGTGTACCTCTGTGTATAAGCATGTTTTAGACATTCAGAAAAACATTTTCCTTCCAGCTACTTCTTCCTTTCAGCTTTCCTTTACTTCTTTACATTCCTTTTTAAACATTTAGTTACTGGTCATATTTTGCCCATTATTCTCCTTCTAGAGCCTGAAACAGCTCTTCTGCAGTGACTTTCATTTTAGTATGTAAACATTTTCTGAACATCTACAATGTGCCATTAACTGTGCTGTGAACCAGGAACCCCCATCTGAATTGGTTAATATCCCTGCTTCTGACAAGCTCCCAGTATTGATGGGGGGTAGGGGGTGGGAGTGGGGGTGGGAGTGAGGGTTGGACTTATAGTTAGAAGACTGCCCAGAAACTACTACAGACTTGCCTGACCCACTTGGGGCTTTAGGGTCGGAATCTGTTTCCAGCTACCTTTTGCCTCTTTATTCAGTATTGTCTCTGTGCCTCTGTGCTTTTCCAAGGGTCATGCCTTGGTACCTGTACACTGTGTCTGCTTAGGAAAATACCTTATAGCAAAATTTGACTTGAATTCTGACAATCTCCATTATGGAATTCTCAGCCCCTGGATACCAGGACTCTTGGTGTAACAATTTCAGTACTAGACATTTTATATCCATTAATTCAAGAGATATTATAATATATTTAATAGATAAAACTGAAGCTCAAAAAGCGAGCTAACCTGCCCAGGGTGTCATATTTAGGTATTTGCTAGAACCAGGATTCAGACCTGCTATCCTCTGATTCTGAAGATAGTACTGCATTCTGCCCTTCATTTGTGCCCCCACTGGGACAGCCTTTGATGCCTTCCGAGGCATTAAATATCCTGGTCAAGAAGTATCTGCTTTCCCTAAAAGAAGAAATACATGATCAGATACAGACCCAGGACGACCTTTCCTCTCTTAACCGTCCCGGCAGCTGACCTCAGGTTTGCTTTTTGTTTCTAGGTATACAGGCAGCACGTGGAACTGTGCAGGATGGAGGGGCTCCCATACCCCACCATGTCAGAGACCATGGCAGTGTGCTCTCACCTGGGCTCCTGCCGCCTCCTCCTTGTGGAGCCCAGCAGGAACGACCTGCTCCTTCGCGTGCGGCTCAACGTCAGCCAGGGTGATGTGCTGTACGCCCTGAAAGAAGAGTGAAGAGCTTCACAAGGAAGGACAGCTGATTTTAAAGAACATGACTTTATTTTTCTAAGCACATGGAATTTTTGTGGCAAAATATAACGAAGGGAAATAACTACCATGTAGTTTGGAATTTTCTTTTAAATAATTTGCTTTTTTCAGAGTGTTTGGGAAATTTATAGTCATTACAAACATCAGGTTATAAAACCAAATAAACCCTCCCTCTGACTTTTATTTCTGTTAGTAGCCCCACCATTTATTTAATGGTAACATGCCATGTATATCAATATCTGCACACAATCACCTGTATTGGTGTAAAATAGTCTGGGGAAAATATGTAAGAAATTGGTTATGTTGGGTGCCCCTGGGAAAGAAATGGATGGCTATGATCAGGAGTTAGAAAAAGACTTTCACTATATGTCATGTATCTTAACTTTTGAGCAATGTGAATAAAACAAACTTAGTTTACAAAAAAGAAATGCTGGAAGTAATATCAGTAATAAAGAATCCCTAGCAATGAATAGCTAGAAAATGTACATTTTAAAAAGGTGCCATATATCATAAAAACAAATCTTTAAATGAAAAAGACTTAGATGGCACAGAAAATATAAGGTATCTAGGAATAAAAAGATGTAATTAACCTCTAAATAGAAATAAATTCCAATCAAAATCTTGGCAGGGTTTTTTTTGTATAACTTTGCAAGTTAATTCTAATATTTATTTGGAAACCAACAATGGGACAAACTGACATCTAAAGCTTCCTCATGAGAAACACATCATCCATGTTATACTAGTCCTGCCAGAATGTCTGACCAATCAGACATTTGATGAGAAAATTATCAGCTAAATCAAGTTGAGGAGAAAATACTCTACAAAGCAACTTTTCCTTTTTAAAAATGTCAATATTACAAAAGACAAAAACAAAATGGAGGAATTATTCTAAACTAAAGGAAAATAGAGAAATGAGAGCTAACTGTACTGTGAGTCTTCATTGGGTTGTATATTTAAGAGATGCAAATGATTACATACATTGTGGACTACAGTAATATTAGTTAATAAGTATGATGTAAAGCTTAAATTTTGTGAGTGATAGTGTAGGAGAATATTAGAATCATGATGAAATATCTGAAACTAATTATCATAGTTCAGAAAAAGCTTATGTAGGTGTATATACATATTTATAACTGCACATAATGGACTGAGGATCAGTCAGAATATTTTAAAGAATTATACAATTCGTGAATTTTATAAAAGAATTGCATAATTTTAAAAAAGGGAAAATGGTAAATAAGTAATCCACAGACTAAGAAACCGGAATGATCAACAAAATGGAAACATAGTAAAAGAGGCCTGCAAGTCAAAACCTTTTCACATCTAATAGAAAACCTGTCAATGGTGATATGGAACAATTGGAATCCAAATGCCCCACTGATGGGAGTATAAACTGGATTAAATACTTTGTAGATAATTTGGTATTTAGTCTGGAAAATGCGGAAATCCTATGAGGCAGCAATTCCACTCGTAGGTATATACCCCAGAAAAACACGTGTACCCTAGGAGTTGTATACAAGAATGTTCATAATACTATAATGGCAAGCCATTGGAAAAGTATATTATTTTCATACTATGAAATGCCATACAGAAATGAAAAATAATTAGATAAATTGCAAGTGTCAATGTGGATGAAGCTTACAAATAGAGTTGAGCAAAGAAGTTGAAGAATATATGCAGTGATATCAATGATATAATGTTAAAGCTTGCAAAAAGATGGATTATTTAAGGGCGTATATATACATAGTAGAAATAGAAAGAAATGCTCAAGGATAACTCAGGAGAGTAGGTAGCTCTTTAGGAAAGTCTTGCACCATGATAGGTGTATAAGTGGTTTCAACTGTATTATTGTGCTGTTTATTCTTAAACTTGTGAGTGATTGGTGCTCATGTTAATTCACACCAGGAATAGGAACTATTTTTATTGAATGCCTACTATGTACAATGCATTGCTTTAGACACTGGGGGATAACTTAGAGAACAGTGAAGGTTGCATTCTAGCAAATGTGAAATACTGTATACCTTTGAGGATATATTAAATATCTATATATATAAAAGCCTAAGCGACTGTTCAACCGGTAGCTATGATGTGCACTGACCAAAAGAGGGCAGATGCACAGGCATGGAAACGTGGGACAGACTGATGAATCTCAGGGGGTAGGGCAGGAAGAGATTAACCAAAGATCTTATATGCTGCATACTAGAGGCTTGGTGCACAGATTCGTGCACCAGTGGGGTCCCTCTGCCTGGCCTGTGGGGGTTGGGCCAAAACTGGCGTTCGACATCCCCCAAGGGGTCCCAGATTGTGAGAAGGCACAGGCCAGGCCAAGGCACCCCACCGGTGCACAAATCCGTGCACTGGGCCTCTAGTTTCATTATATTTAATGACAAAAATTGGAATAAAACTTCAGTTTTACACTGCTAAGGTCAGTCTCTTTGGGCAACCAATCAACCAAAAGCAATAGGAGATGGAAAAGCTCTTTGTCCAAGGAAAATGCAAGATTCTTCCAATTGCTAACTACAAAACATAATTTAAAAGTTGAGATATGCAGGAGTGCGTTGCAAGGTTTGTTTTAGATGGAAGATGCTCTGTAATGCCTCTTACCACCCCCATTTCATTGCCCTGCAGAGTAGGGGAGTAAGAACTTGGTGTTAAACGTCATGAAGAGGTGCAGCGAACACCCACTGCCGGTCATATCTTAAATATTTAACCCACTTCCTGATTGGAAAAGGTACAGTTACTAAATGTTTAAAAATATGGCCTGGCAGGCGTGACTCGGTGGTTGAGCATCCACCTATGAACCAGGAGGTCAGGGTTGAATTCCCAATCAGGGCACATGCCAGGGTTGTGGGCTCCACCCCCAGGGTGGGGCGTGCAGGAGGCAGCTGATCAAGGATTCTCATCATTGATCTTTCTACCTCTCTCTCCCTCTCCCTTCCCCTCTGAAATCAATAAAAATACTTTTAAAAAATATATGGTGCGCCCCCATTTTGCTGGAGAAGCTCAAAGGACACCAAGAAGGTGGCAAGCAGAGAAGCCCTCCCCTTGGGTGGGGTCCGCGCCAGCCGGACCCACGCGACAGGGCAGAGCAAGGCCGTGAGGTAAGCATGCGCCTGGGAGCCGCCCAGGAGGCGACTTGGTGGGGAAGGTGCAATGGAGCGAGGGCAGCTGTCGCACCCACCGCATTTGTGCAGGCCGCTTGGCTCCCCGGACCCGCCCGCAAAACTAGCCTCGCGCTGCCGGCGCGCCCAGAACTCCACCCTCGGAGTCACCTGTTGGGCGCCACACCCGCTTCGCCTGGCGCATGCGCATTGCGTGTTGCCGGGCGTGGAGTCACGTGTTCGGGCGCGCGCGTCTCCGTGGGGGAACTTCCTGTCACGGCTGCCGCCGCCGCCGCCGCCGCCGCCCGGTGGCCACGGGAGTCCCGGGCGGTGCGGGGCGAGAGCAGGCCCGGGTGGGTGCCGGATCCGCCGCGAGGTATTCTTGTCCTCCGCCCCCCGGCGAGGGTGACCT